TGTTCCTGCCCTCTGGAATTAGGAGAGAGGTCGACCTGCTGGAAGCTGGACCCTGGTCCTGGGTCCAGAGTGGGTGGAGACGGCGAGATCCCAACCAAGCTGCGGCGGTTCGTGGGGTCTGCAGTGGTTATGGTGTCAGGCAGAGTGCTTGGCGTCCTAGGAGCATCCGTCGGCGGAAGGTACCCGGTCGGGGTGCCAGCGGTTCCGTCACAGTGACTATGGTCCCAGCTTCCTTGAGATCATTAACAAGATCCGACCGTTCTCATGGTCATTGAAACTCCACGAAGTGAGATCTTGCATGGAGCACCAGACCAAGGGAGACCGACCGTTATTTTGTGTTTCTTCCATTTGCGAATAATCGCACCAGCTGTTGTCAACTTCTCACCCAGCTGCTTGGCGATGGTCTTGTAGCCCATTCCAGCCTTGTGTAGGTCTACAACCTTGTCTCTGACATCCTTGGACAGCTTTATGGTCTTGGCCATGGTGGAGAGTTTTGAATCTGATTGATTGCTTTTGTGGACAGGTGTCTTTTATACAGGTACCAAGATGAGATTAGGAGCACTCCCTTTAAGAGAGTACTCCTAATCTCAGCTTGTTACCTGTATAAAAGACATCTAGGAGCCAGGAATCTTGCTGATAGGGAATCATATACCTATTTCCCTCATTGACATGTAAATCAATGTATTACTTTTTTGACATGCATTTTTTCTCAAAAAAAAATGTTTATTTATTGATTTTTTTTTTTGGGTCATTCTGTCTCTGATTTAAAATACACCTACCATTAAAATTATAGGCTCATCATTTCTTTGTCAATAAACAAACGTTCAAATTCAGCAGGGGATCAAATACTTTTTTCCCTCACGGTGTGTGTGTGTGTATATTTATAAATATATAATTAATGGGCTTATATCTGTTTATAAAAATGCCTAATACAAGGAGGTATAACTAACTTAGAGTTGTATAGTGAAGACAGAGATGTTCTGTTCTTACAGTGTGTACTTTATCTTGAATAAAAGGCCACTAGAATGTAAGAGATCATGTTTAGTTTCTACCTTAGGATCCCAAGCTTTTTAGGTGGCAAAATGTAGAACTACTTTACCAAGCTGTAGAACTAATGGATCTTTTCTACTTGCTTGTCCCTTCATATTTCTATATATTTTTTTTTTCCTGCTATGTCATATCTGTTTACCTTATGTGTTCTCATCTCTACAACTAACTCATTATGCCCTAAAACCCAACGTGTTGCTTTCATAAACTCCTCTTTTTATGTTTTCCATGTTTATATTTTTTCTGTGGTTCATGCTTATTTCTGTTCATCATATACTTCTGGTTGCCATCTATCCTACATTTTTGTGATTGTGTCTTCAATCACTGGCTATACCTTCATTAACATGATTTTTTTTTTATTTTTTATAAATCTACACCTTCCATCACGTGTTCTGTCTTGTGGTATTTCACGCTCATAATGTACTTGCTTTTGTCTGTTAAATTCTGCTTGGCTGGCTGCCTCACATTCCTCCTAAAACGTTGCATCCGCCTTTCTCTGACCACTGGCCACTCACTTCAGGATTCTACGGACTTGAAGAATCTGACTTGGACAAAGTGTTCCGCCTACCAACCACCACATTCATTGGAGGAAATGAAACTGCTCTTCCCCTTCGAGAGATCATCAGAAGGCTTGAGGTAAGAATTGATACAAAAAAACAAAGGCTACACACTCCTAGACATGCGTGCTGGTGACCAGTAGATACAACAAACTAATTTCAGGGCACTCCACTTCAAGCTAATGTTCAGGCCTACAAAGTGTTAACTAAATCTCCATTATTATCTTATTTTTTAACGATCTGATCATACATTGCATTAGTATGCCAACAGTGCTATAAGCATAAAAAGAATAAACGTGGCGCAAGCACAATGTTAAAGTGCAAGTATCTACACCAAAATCAGTGTCAAATAAAATCACATGCAGAAACCTATATAGAGGTCTGATATAAAAATTCCTCAACAATAACAAATCCATATTATGGCTGCGCAACCAAATTTTAAAATACTGTGCCACCGTGGATTGTAGAATATATGTACAAGCGTATAATATGCAATGTCAATCTGCAGTTGCGAAGGTCAGTAAGGTTTTGTCATGTATAAATAGGGGCATAAATTCTGAGGATGAAAATATAATTTTGCGTCTGTATAAATCGCTGATAAGACCACACCTTGAATATGCTGTGCAATTTTGGGCACCCGTTGTAAAGGAGGCTATTATGGCACTAGAAAAAGTGCAGAGACGAGCTACAAAATTGATAAAAGGTATGAAGCATTTTAGTTACAAAGAAAGGTTAAAAAATGTAAATCTCTTTAATCTGGAAAAACGGCACCTCAGAATGGAAATTATAACATTATACAAATATATTTGGGGCCAGTACAAACCATTATCTGGAAATCTATTCATAAACAGGGCTATACATAGGACACTAGGTCACACATTTAGGCTGGAAGAAAGGCGATTTCATCTAAGGCAAAGAAAAGTGTTTTTTTTTGTGTGTTTTTTTTAACAGTAAGAGCAATAAGGATATGGAATTCTCTGCCTGAAGAGGTGGTTTTATCAGAGTCCATAGAGACGTTTAAACTGCAATTGGATAAATACTTCCAGAAACATCACATACAGGGATATAATTTCTAATTAGTTGCTTGATCCAATGAGACATCTGACTGCTATTTTGTGGTCAAGAAGGAATTTTTTCTTAGTTTGTTGCAAAATTGAAAGCGCTTCAGACTAGGTATTTTTTTTTTTTTTGCCTTCTTTTAGATCAACAGCAAAAACATATGTGAGGAAGGCTGAACTTAATGGACGCAAGTCTCTTTTCAGCTATGTAACTATGTAATAAAAACATGAATATTACAAGTAACACTGTGAAGCAGTGAATCAAAACCATATAGAGTATACTTGCACAAACTTTGCAATGTTCTTCTTGATCTAGAACAAGCATGTCAAACTCAAAGGCTAGCAAGGGCCAAAAAAACAAATTTTGAAAAGTACAGTATAAAAAAAAACAGCAACCCCCTCTACTAAATACCCTGTACTATATCTACTAAATCCCAGCCCGCCTTTGTCCACTAAATCTGTCATCTCTCCCTCCCCCCCCCACCCCCCCGTCTACTAAATTACTAAATCTTAGTCTCTCCATGTCTACTAAACCCCAGCCCCCACATCAGACACACAGGCTCAGTCACAGACACACACTGACATACACACCCTCAATCACACATACACACAATTATTCAGACACACACACACACAGACAGCCATGGACACAGACACCCATGCACAAACACACATTCTGTTTAATTTTTATTTAAATCCACCTAGCCCCTCTACCTTTGGGAGAGCTGGGTGGATTTCATACCTGGGGTCTAGTGGGGCTGCTGGGCGGGCAGGCGGCGAGGGTGCACTCAGCGCTCTCTCGCCACGGGCCGCAAACATATCAGTTGTGGGCCGCATGCAGCCTGCGTTTTTGACATGCATGATTTAGAACATCTAAAACCAAAAGAGACCTAGTACAGCAATGTAATAAGAAATAGGGGTATGAATAGAGTTTAGCCAAAAACGAACTCACAAACGTGGAGTGGTTGAAGTACCACTCCAAACTATATAAGGCATAGGGAGGATAAAGCCCTTGTGTACGTTGGATCCACATAGTAGACTCACCACCAGCTGAACAAAAGATCCAATGCTTTATTAGTGGATAAAAACAATAAAATAACTATTAAGTCTGACTCACAGTGTTATAGTAGACAAAGTCTATGGTTCGTTGGGATGCAGTCAGTGTGCTCTCTCTTCCCTGCAAACAATCAACTGATCTCCGACTTCACTGAACTGTGTCCATATGTCCACTTTAGTGTTCAACGTGCTACGCGTTTTGCCCCGCCTCTCTGGGCTTTCTCAAACATGTAGTGAGTCATCCCACTCGGCTCCTCTTTATACCCCAACGAAAGTCTCAAGTTCCACCTCTTATCGATTAATGTTCTTGTGGAGTTATCCTGCAATATCATATTACTTCTTTATATTCATAAAAATAGATGCTAAACAAATAGTCATAGTATAAAAAGAAACAGAAAATAAAATACATGTAATGGATATCTTAAAAACCGTTCTAAAAGAAAACACAGTTCAGAAATTTCACTTTCAAATCACAACCATATACAAGCAGGAAAAGTATGTACCTACTAATACATCATAGCATACAACCCCCTATTGACCTTTTAAACTAAAAAAATGGGAAAACAATTGGAAAATAGTTAAAATATCTAAATCTGTCCGTAGGGGCAGATCGCTTAAATCACTCCATAATCTGTAGGATACAAAAGATTATTCTTGAAGCATTTTGAGATTCTATAGTGATCCGAAAGCCATAATAAAAATATGGTATAGTCCTTCCAACATAGAGGAGAGATATAATCAGTAATAGAAGATAAGTAAAAATGTTAAAAATGATTTAAAAAAAAAAATTAAACAAGTAAAAATCTATATTTGGACCTGATGGGGTCCAAAGTGTCTAAAAGACCCATTTCATTTCTTCCTGACCTATAATTTTTTTTTTTTTTAAATAAAATCCCCTCCTCTCCAGTCTATGGAGATGCTAATCTACGGCATTTATGGCAGGTTCTACTCCATGTCAACCAAATGACTGACTAATCACATGTTTCCACTTTTCGGGGGCATAATCCTGTTAATGTTCTTTGCAGTGCAAGGCTTAAATAGGGCCTGCAACCACTACCCGTGACTTGGTGGGTTGCCAAACAAGGAGTGTTAGGTCAATACTCCCACTAAACTCATGTGATCTTTGAAGTGGAGCATATTCATTTTAATTTTATAATATAATTACATAATTTGTATTTATAAAATAAATACCAATATCTCATTGCCTTTGTGCCCCTCCCAGTATGAGTTAACTCTTTGTCCATTGACTTTTCTCTCTACAGACTGCATATTGCCAGCACATTGGTGTTGAATTCATGTTTATTAATGACCTGGAGCAGTGCCAGTGGATTAGAGAGAAGTTTGAAACCCCAGGAATCATGCAATTCACCAATGAGGAAAAACGTACCTTGCTCGCTAGGCTCGTCCGGTCTACCAGGTATTCTTCCAGCTTTTCTATGATAGGTCAGGTAGGGACATTTAAGTGACTTCACTTGAGACGTGTGAAGAATACTATTAGACCATAAAATGTAAATCTAATTCTTTGTTTCCCATTGAAATAACAGTGCATTGCTTTGTAATGATGTGGTAAATAGGGTTACTAAATACACCAGTCAGATACTCTGAAATACCAATGCGTTGGCTTAAATAAAGTGTGCAGGTCCAGAAGTATTACTAACCCCATTCACCCAAGGTATTACAGAACAGTACATCATTTGTACTTATGGAACCGAAACACATCATGTACAGGTACGGCATGTGCTGTGACCCAAACTGTAACTTAAATAATGAAAATACTGATTATATTAAACACTTAATTCTGGGACTGTTGTTCACAAGGGGAAAAGGCATTCATCACCGTAAGTGTTATCTGCTATAAATTATCTTTTTCACATTTTTGTGAAACTACCAATTAGGGACAACTATTTGGGAGTGTAAACATTATTAGATATTGGCATATTAAATAAAGGAGTGCGCAGTTAGCGAAGACAAAATGCTGATATCTGATGTCTTGTAACATGGTTCCTCACAGTTAGGTCACTTTATGGTTTGACTCTCTGTGAGTTGATGGTTTTTCTCAAATGACATGTTCCTTCCTATACAGGTTTGAAGAGTTTCTCCATCGTAAATGGTCTTCTGAGAAACGTTTTGGACTGGAAGGTTGTGAGGTTTTAATTCCAGCCCTAAAGACCATTATTGATGAATCCAGCAAGAATGGAGTAGAGTATGTCATCATGGGGATGCCCCACAGGTAACTAGTGTGATCGGTCATTAAAAACTCCTAGCCCCATAATGCCTTGAATATTGTGCAAGCAAACTCTGCAGCAAACCAAATTAATGTGTGCAAGCAAACCTCGTGTACTGCGACCTTTTCACTATTCTCTAAACCTCCAGAGTAATATACTGTCTTGTCTAGATTGAACAAACATTCAACATTTACACACTCAGGTCCCCAATACTGCACAGTACTAAGCAAATAAATATAGTGCCTACTTATTTGTCTTTAATGTTTAACCAATCTGTATCATAGAGGCCGTCTGAATGTCTTGGCAAATGTCATCAGGAAGGAGCTAGAACAGATTTTCTGTCAGTTTGATTCCAAGCTTGAAGCTGCAGATGAGGTGAGTCTGTTACATGTAGATTTCAACCTAAATCAATTATTTCATTGTTCATAGATTGCCTGCTTTTTCTTGAACTATGAAATATTGAGTCAGTCAGTTCTACTGTCATCCAGTATAGTAGTATTTAAAATGCTGTGATAGGAAGTCAGTCATGTTTTTCTGTGATTCCTTTTTGCAGGGTTCTGGCGATGTTAAATACCATCTTGGAATGTACCACAGACGGATAAACAGAGTGACAGACAGAAATATAACACTGTCTTTGGTGGCCAACCCATCCCACCTCGAGGCTGCTGATCCAGTGGTTCAAGGAAAGACAAAAGCTGAACAGTTTTACTGTGGAGACACAGAAGGCAAAAAGGTGAGGATGGAAAACAAAACAATTAGTTATATTAAATGATGTATGGAATTGTTAATAACGTGCTGCTTGTTGGTTGGCTCTTAGGTGATGTCCATCCTCCTGCATGGAGATGCTGCTTTTGCAGGACAAGGCATTGTATATGAGACCTTTCACCTGAGTGACCTGCCGTCTCACACTACACATGGGACTGTGCATGTGGTGGTCAATAACCAGGTACCAGACTGTAGATCAAAACTTAAACAAGATTACACTTTGCTCTGCAGTATTCTTTTTGCAGGCAATATTATATTCTGCTTCTCAACTTTGAAAAAACTTGACATGGTTGAACAATTCGGCCAGCTACTAATGTCACTTAAACTTGCCTGGCTCTCTCATCAAATGGAAGCATTGAACACACAAAGATGTTGAAAATCAAAGGTCTCCAGGAGTAACTGCCTGTAGTGATTGTTAGGGTGACAACTACTGGAGGTGTGGTTTAGGGGAATAATTAAGTCACCAGAAAACCTTATGGTAAAAGACCTTCAAAGATAAAGAGATGGTCCTCGTCTAAGCTTTTTTTAATTTGAACAAAAATGGTCTTTTGACTGAAGTGGACATTAAAGTTTTATCACAGCCTCGTTAAAGGGACACTCCTGAAGTGGTCTGGGTGCTAACTCCCATCACCCTTAACCCTGCAAGTGTAATTATTGCAGTTTTTTTTTAAACTGCAATAATTTCCTTGCAGGGTAAGACAGCCACTAGAGGGACTTCCAGATTCTTAAAACACGAAAAGTGTTTAAAATGATGATTGACGTCCTCACACTATGCATGAGGACCTCCAGCGTCGCCGGAATTCCCATAGCAAAGCATGCGCATTAGGTCTCCCCTGCCAGCGACAGTGGAGGAGCATGTGTGGAGCCTGACCCAGTGGTAAGGGACATCAGCGCTGGATTCAGGTAAGTCACTGAAGGGGTTTTAATCTCCACTGAAGGAGTGGGAGGGAGGGGGGCACTATAGGATTCTGCAGTGCCAGGAAAACGGTTTGTTTTCCTGGCACTGGAGAGTCCCGTTAAGTATGTTGTAATATTTAGTTTTATGTCTTTCCAATTTTCATTTTTACATTTATTAAACTTTGAAGGTGCTTGAGCTGTAGTGCATTAAATAATCCAGACACACATTTTTAGAACGCTGCAATATTTGAACCTGTCATATATCATAAAACAATATTAATATTTCCATGTGTGTGGCCGTTAATTAGCATATGCTCCTGACTCTGAACTGTAATGAACTTCATACTAGGGATAGATAGATTATTGGAGCCCATATTCAGAATATTACCGATAATCGGTATTGGTCTTGTAATTTACCAATGGCATACTCACAGCCTCGCATCACATGGTCTTCCATATCTGGAAACTCCAGCTGCCAGCCAATGAGGTGCCACATCGTAACCTCACCACCAGACACCGTACTGTAATGTAGGGGGCTGGCTGGCTGAGAGTGATAAGAATGTAATTACTGTCAGCATGTTCAGTTAATGCCAGATTTGTGTAGGAATTATGTGGCGTTTTCAAAATTTCAAATGTACAGAATATTGGCACTAGTTATTGTTAATTGGTCAATCCATGTTTCTCAAATTGTGTATTCCCGTTTAAGATTGGCTTCACCACTGACCCTCGAATGGCACGATCTTCTCCTTACCCCACGGATGTGGCCAGAGTAGTGAATGCCCCCATCTTCCATGTCAATGCAGATGACCCTGAAGCTGTTGTGTATGTTTGTAATGTTGCTGCTGAATGGAGGAACACCTTCCACAAGGATGTTGTGGTGGACTTGGTATGTGGTATCCCTAACAATCACCCTCTTTAATTACTGATTAAAATATACCTCATCACTAGTGCATTTATTTGTAAAGCTATAATACAAGAAGTACTGTCGAAACCTTGCTTTCATTTGTAGCACTGTAACCAATGACTGTTCTTGTTCTAAATGTGTAAAGATATTGTTACGTCAGGCTGTGCTGTATTTGGAAGGCAATGCATTTTGTTGTAGTTGTATACAATATGTGCTGTTTTGCCAAGAATGACTGGCTTTCTGTGATAGCTGTAGTGCATAGAACTAGCATTTTGCCTAACACCTATTATGCCCTCTCTAGGTTTGTTACCGCCGGAATGGTCACAATGAAATGGATGAGCCCATGTTTACGCAACCTTTGATGTACAAACAAATACGCAAACAAAAGACCGTGCTACAGAAGTATGCAGAGACCCTCATATCGCAGGGGGTGGTTAACCAGCTGGAATATGAGGTATGAGGAAGGGAACAAAAGACGTTTAAAGCGAAATGTAAGCAATATAACTACTGTATCCGTTTAGGTTTATAGTGCTAATAGGCTCTAGGCGTAATGCAACAAAATAACAACCAAAACTGACAGATGGCTAGTGCGGGAATTCCATCTGCAATAACAATATCCATTTTACTCCTATTTGGATGTCATTATTTGGCGGTCTATACCATCCCAATATGGGCATACTTAAAATCCATTATTTAAGTATTCCGTTTAAAGAAGCAGTCCAAGTGGTTAGAAGTAACATATTCCCTTTAGGTAAAAAAATTTTGACTCTGCAAATATAAATTCATCCCAGGTGGGTGTACCATGGACTCTCCATGCTCGCAGAAGCTAGTAACTTTTTTAAAGCCAGGCATGTAGCACAGGACTTGAAATATTAAGCATTGTTTACGTATATCATGGGTGGTGAGGAAACTAAAAAGGAATCAGGAGATCAGATTAGGAGAGTAATTCTGATGTGTGTGATTTACCCACAGGAGGAAATTGCAAAGTATGACAAGATCTGTGAAGAAGCACTGACTCGCTCCAAAGATGAAAAGATCCTTCATATTAAGCATTGGTTGGACTCCCCCTGGCCTGGTATGTTTTCTGATGCAGGTGTATGTTGGGTAATATTGATCTAATTGAGTTCAGATAGAAAATCTGTTGACTGGACAACTTATTGGTGAATGTATTGAATTTGGTGCAGATTCCTTGTTTTTTTTCTCCACAGTTGCCAGTTTAGTTGTTAAACACTACTGCAATGAAAACATTGACACTTTACAGATTTTAGGACTGTGAGAGATCAGACTTGCATGACACAGAAATAACTGAGAACTTATGACTGTTCATTGCTTTGCAAAGGTCGTGACAAACCTCTTTAGTACAAAATAAAAAAAGATTTGAGGCTATATTTATCAAGAGAAAATCTGAGCAATTCTGGGATAAAATGCTGAATCTGGAGAAATTCCACTGGTTTCCCAGCTTTCTAGATGGTGAATGCCCCCGTTATCAATTCAGGTGAACACAGGGAAATATATTCTATTGTGCAGATCTATTTGTGGGCTCTTGGTGTGTTTTTTTTTTTGTTTTTTTTTTTTTCTCTAAGCTAGGTCTGTTCATGGCATTTTACTATTCTTGTAGGGAATGCACAGTATTTTTGCTAATCGACTTGTGGGCTCAACGAGTCTGAGCGTGAATGCTGAGCCTTGAACAAAACTTGTCCACATGCCACCCTTATTTCCATTTTAACAAAACTCAAAAGATTTGACAGAAAAAAAACAAACACAAGTCTGGACTATATGACCAAACTTCTCAAATGAGCTTAAGTTGTGCTGGTGCCCAAGTGTCCCTTTAATGTGTGTGCTCTGCTATTAACATTAGACAAATATACCTTCTTCCTAGCTGCTTCACTTGACTTCTGGATTAACTTAAAGCCACAGCTAATGAGCACTCTTTTGAACAGCACATGGTTTCCTCCAATTTAAAGATATTTTCAACAGTAGTATTTAATGTGTGTAGTACAGAGTGATCCAAGTATCCATTATCATGTTTCCACACCTTGTAGGTTTCTTTACTCTGGATGGTCAGCCACGCAGCATGACCTGCCCATCCACAGGGCTTTCTGAAGAGGATCTGACCCATATCGGGGCCGTGGCCAGCTCTGTACCTGTAGAAGACTTTACTATTCATGGAGGTTTGACTATCTTTTTTTGGTATTCATTTTAAAGGGGAACTGTAACTTTCTGGTATTTACACCACTGAATAAAGTATTGAAAATAGTGTATATTGTTCACACATATATACATGTTTTTTTTTTATTATTATTATTCCCATTGGGATGCACTTCATGGTGTGGTGGTTTGTTTTTGCCTCCTCATTATTATTTATTTATATTAAAGATTTAGCAAATTACATTATCATCCAGTTCAGATGAGGCAAAGCCAGGACAATGATGGCAGATGAGAAGGAAAGATAGAAACACTTTATCCTGTCTCTGTGCTGGCTGCCAGATGTAAAGGACTCAGGTTATAACAATGACTGACAGGGAGCTAAGATGGAAGCTCCCAGTTGCAGGATAAAGAGGTGTGAATTTCAACATTTAATTTTGTTTTTCACACCTCACAAATATATATTGCTAAATATATGGATAAGTGACAGTCCCTGTTTAGGTTTTTGCTAAATGCTATTAATCTACTGTGTGTAAATCTACTTTATTTTCACTTGTTGTCAAGTTGGAGTACAGAAATGAAACTTTCTATTTCTAAAATATTTTGTACATCTATCCTGCTTATTAAATGGCTGATGAGTAACATCTCTCACCCTGCCCTCTCCCGTTTGGATAATAATACCATCTCTTCTCCCTACTTCCTGTTCCTCAGGTCTCAGCCGTGTCCTCAAAGCCCGTGGAGAGATGGTGAAGAACAGAACTGTTGACTGGGCACTGGCTGAGTACATGGCATTTGGGTCTCTACTGAAAGAAGGAATCCACATCCGTCTCAGTGGCCAGGATGTGGAGAGAGGAACTTTTAGGTACCAAAGTAACCCAATGCCAGTTAGTGACCTAAATATCCATTGACAATGTCCACACTCTGCACTTGTTTAGCATTATACCCATCTGAGGCAAAGACTTGCTGAAAAGCATGTATAAATCATTTTAGTTCCGAATTTGTTGCCTATTTTTTTTTTTTTTTTTTAATACATCAAAAAGTTGTGCTAACTAAAGGAAAACAATTTGCCTCTAAAATTTATAGTGCAGTTACACTTTTACATTGTCGGCTGCTGAAATTCTTTTCTCTGGCCTGTAAGGTTTTGCAGGTCATCACAATTATAAGCCACTCCTGGAAGGAATGCAGGGTTGTCAAACAACTATTTGGTAAAGTATTGAGCAATTCAAAATTGTTACATTGTTCTGAAGGCTGTCCTGAAAAACCATAATTAATATAGGGTTTCAAAATGGACAGACTATAGATCAAATCAGGTTTGGAAATAAAAACAAATATTGTGCAGCATTTTCAACTCTGATTGCCAAATTTTGTGTGACTAAATATGCTGTATTTGCCAATGGAAAGCCAAGTGTTAGGATTGTTTATAGTATGTATGAAGAAAATGTTTTCAGGAATTTCTCACATGCTTATCCCATATTTCCCCTTTTAGTCACCGTCACCATGTGTTACACGATCAGAATGTGGACAAGAGGACATGTATCCCTATGAATCATCTATGGCCAAACCAGGCCCCTTACACGGTCTGCAACAGCTCTCTGTCAGAATATGGTGTACTTGGTAAGTGGTGGAGGTGGCAGGAATATGGTGTCTGTTTGGCTAGGCCATAACTCGAGACTCTGAGGAAGGGGATGTCTGCATGAAGACATGGGTTCAATATGTAACTCTCCTTCACATAAGACTATGTCCTTATGGACATATAGATGGCAGTTTTATTTTTATGTCAAACGGTTAGTCAAGTGATGATCTTTGTGGTTCTTGTTAACTTACATTTTGTGTCTTGTTTTCTGTTACTATACTGTTCCCTTTCTCTGTTCCATTATCTGATCCATTATGTTATACCCAGTCTGCCACATGTGATTACATCCTCTTGTCTCTTCATCTCTTCTTTTTCCCCAGGGTTTGAACTGGGCTTTGCTATGGCTAGCCCTAATGCCTTGGTTCTTTGGGAAGCCCAGTTTGGAGATTTCCACAATACAGCTCAGTGTATCATTGATCAGTTCATTTGCCCTGGACAGGCCAAGTGGGTGAGACAGAATGGAATTGTCCTGCTTTTACCCCATGGCATGGAAGGCATGGTAAGTGTAGACTGTATGTAGAAATATTAAAAATGTATTGATGTTGGCAAGTCTCTGTCCATCAAAATAACTGTCACTTCAGTGGAAATTACAGCATTGAATGAAAGAGTGAAAATCACATGTAAGCTATGTCATCCCAATTTAAAGTCCGAAAATTAAACCTCTGCAGCGTACTCTTCTCTTCTTTAAAAGTAATTTGAAAAGGTAAACCCAAAGTCAGATGAATACTCTGAGCCTTTGATGCTTTACCAGGTCCTCTTATAACTGAATTATTTTTAACTACTTGATCTCAATGAGTTGAAACAAGCTAATTGTCACTTACATAAGAAACTTTAGCTACCTAGCGCTCCTAGCATTTTCCAAAAATGTGTTTATTTGTGCATTTGAAGGAATTTGTGGCATTATGTATTTCAATTTATACTCTACCTATATTTGTTTGAAACAAATAAGTCTGCAAGCTTTTACATTTTTTTGTTGTTAATAAGATATATAAGATATAAATTTGATCATTATAACTGTGTTAAGCTCTGCAGTGCTTTTTATTTAGGTTAAAATTGAATTATACATGGAAAAGCTTAACACTTCTGTCTTTCTCAGGGTCCTGAACATTCCTCTGCTAGACCTGAACGCTTTTTGCAGATGTGCAATGATGACCCAGATGTCTGGCCTGTAAGATATTTATGCATCTCATTTATCTGATACACTTTGCAATTCGTAACATACGTTACAGTCCGGAAAGGGATGGGGTGCGGGGTTGTTCCCCATAATATTACTCTCGGAGTGCAACAAAATCATTGTGAAAGTTCATTACATAAAACAAGTTTTTTTTTGGGGGGTTTTTTTTTGTATGCTTGTGTTAAACCCCAATCAGTCCCAGAAACTTACTGTTCTATATTCCAATGAAATAGTGCATAGGACATCATGCCAAGTCCATGATAATTATATAATTCTCTATTGTTTTTTTGGGGGGTAGGCGGGTGAGTATGTATTACATATCAAGGGTTAACACAGATCAGTAAGGTTGATATAAACCGTACTGTAGTAATTTTTCATCCAACATGCATTTCTTTCCATCTCAGAAACCCTCAGATGACTTTGCAGTGCGCCAGCTTTATGACTGCAATTGGATTGTTGTGAACTGTTCCACTCCAGCTAACTTCTTCCATGTTCTCCGCAGACAGATCCTGCTGCCTTTCCGCAAACCGGTATAACTGCTAATCTTTCTTTTAGTATCTCTACCATTTTCTCATTTCTTTCCTTCCCTCCCTTCAAAATGATGGGCTTTTTGCAAAGGTAGAGTGGAAAATTATCATTTTGGATATTTCAAATTGTCACTTGCTACCTTTTTGTTTTACCCCATGTGACCTCCTTCAGATTGTAGGTCCACGGCCATCTAAGCTTTTTCGCAAAAGTCTGCAATTCTAGTTTATAAACTCAATAGTATAATTCTCTATTAACTTTGCACTGATATCAGTCTAGTTATATCTTACTCTATTAATAACGGACTTGTGAGTAGGCACTGGTCTTCGTTGGTCTCCATGTGTATGGAAGATATATAAGAAATTTTGTACGACGATATGAAGCCCCCTTTGGTGGGAGCCAAGTCATGACTCTAAAAGATGAATACATGCGTCTGTATTTGTAATCTTCTTATCCTTTTTCTTCATTTTGTATTGTTTTTACACGTGAACTCCTAATCATATCTTTTATTTTAGTTGATTGTCTTCACTCCAAAGTCCCTTTTGCGTCATCCGGAAGCTAGATCAAGTTTTGATGACATGTTGGCAGGTGAGAAATAGCTATGTACAGCATCCTGGTTTAGATGTGAAAGACTGTATCTTGTGTCAAATGCTCAAGAGAAAAAAAATACACATTTTGCCAATTCCCTAATATATAGAGCAGACTATTAAATTAACAATTTCCAAACAAAGCAACTTCAACTTTCCATGAAAAAATATGGTTTATGCACTTCAATGATGAAACACATAAATTGGGTAGCAAAATGTAATAAAAAAACGTTCCCCATATAATATCCAACCGAGTTACTGGAGTGCCTCCTTCACTGTCAGTTGTTAGTGTTATTTGAAAATTTGTTAAGTAATTTACAGGCTGAAATGTCTTATTGTATGGGTCAATGATTTACTGGTTTTATTTGGGGGGGAGGGGGGTTTCTTCACTATGTTGATGTTATGAACCGCTCCCTATGACTCATGATTGTAAAAATGAAGTAGTGCTCCATGCTTTGTTACGAAGTTGCAAATGTATGTTAGTTATTTATATATACATATTTTATATATGTTTTTTTTTATTATTTATATAGCGCCAACAAATTCCGTAGCGCTGTACAATGGGTGGACTTACAGACACATAATTGAGATCAGACCACTGGACGTACAGGAACAGAGGGGGTTGAGGGCCCTGCTCGAAGAGCTTACATGCTAGAGGGATATAGGCTTAACAAGGTGGATACGTGATAGCGAGCACAGGAAACCCCCATTTAAATATGGGGGAGCACAACTCTGAGCTCCAATCCTTCCTACGTTACTAAGAAGAAGAAAAAAGTTTGTCGGTACTAGCATACCTGCTGGAAACATACATTGATGTGGGTGGTATTGCTAACAAAGATCATGCAACTGTATAGCAACATGGCTCACACATAGACACATAGCCTTAATTAATTCCAGGGAATGTTGCTGCTGGAGGTCACGGGGCCCTGATGTTCCAAGGGGAAATTGTGTTTCCACATTGTGCTTCTTAACCCCATGATTTAAACCGGCATAAATTTTATCTGATGTTGCACACTCTGTTACTATATTGCCCAAAATGGCATATGGGACATTGCCAAAAAGGAGACACGTGCCCAATAGCCACACTAATGGAGAACGTCCACCTCTCCTACCCCCACAGTACGGCGGAACCGCACAAGATCTCCACTGGAGACAACTTATACATCCTTTATTTCATTTTTATCTATTGTCCCCTGTTTATCCCCTACTCTTCCTTTTTAGCCACCACAGATTAATCTGTTCGCAGTTATTGGTCATACACTACTGAGTATACCCGAGAATTCATTTGCCAGGGCCATCTTTAGGCTTGACTGTACCATTTCATGCTAAGACCTAAAATCACGTGGGCGAGCACAGCCACGCATCCTGGGGAAATATCACACCCATGCTATACCTTATTGAAATCACACAACATCCTGCTACATAAGCAAATATCCCTACAACATAACAGATTATAAAAAATACAAACTCAAAATGTACGTGGCTTAAATACGCCACATAAAAGACGCATTCTTCTGGAGGAGACTAAACGAAACAAAATAGATATCCTGTGTTTACAAGAGATGCATTTTGTGCATAATAAAATCCTTTTGTGTGCCACCTGAGATCATCCAACCAAATATCACTCAACTTATTCCTCAAAATCACGGGGAGCATCCATTCTTATACACAGCTCACTAACATTTGAACTGTTACAAATAAAAAAAGACATACTTAATGCTGCATTGTAGAGTCAATGATGTCACATATATAATAGTGAGTATATAAGTCCCCAATGGTATATACGTCCCCAACGATAACCAGAGGAACTTCCTACATAAGATGCTTTCTAAACCCCCCACAGCCAATGCCAATGATCTTCTGCGGAGACCTTAATTATGTATTGCACATACACACATGGACACAACATTAACATACACCTCACCCAGACACACAAGACTGGGTACACAGCGTAAAGCCCTTGATAAACTACTGTCTGAATATGGCCTTTAGATGCTTGGAGCACACAACACCCAAAGAATAGGGAATTTACATTCTATTCCTCAGTGCATAAAACTTTTAAAGGATAGAATATTTCTGGAAACTTACTTCCCAGCACACAACACTGCAGCATGGGCGATTGTGTGGTCAGACTATGCTCCAGTAACGCTGACCATAAAAAAGGAGTTCCAACACAGGTTCTAAACGACGCTTTACTACATAATTCGATTTCAAAAATAAACTTACAGATGAAATATCCTCATACTTCAGGCTCAATGAAACACAAGAAACTTCACCAGCCCTGGTTTGGCAGGCACACAAAGCAGTGGTTAGCGGGCCCCTAATAAGTAGGGCATCTCATTTAAATCTCATCTCTAAAAATTAAATTCGTGACCTTAGTACGCTCACTGCGTACTACACAACTGCTCACCTTCTACACCCATCAGATATAACCCAACACAGGATTGACAACACGAAAATCAAACTATACACATTCAACACACTGCACTCGTGATTCAGAAACTGAAAATGAAAACATACACGCAAGGAAATAGGGCAGGGAAAGCATTAGCAACGCTCATGAGACACAACAATAATCTAAAATACAGTTCCTATTCAATGGCAAGGGGAATAAACATTACAATCCCCAAGACATTGACACCATGATAGAGTATTATAAGTACCCTTTATAATCTCAAGGATGATGAGCATACCCACCAACCCTCCCAATCGGACATAGAGGGCTTCCAAGCCAAACTCGCACTCCATCCAGTATCACCGACTCACAAACACCCGATAAAGGCACAGATTTCACAACATGAAATCCTATAGGCTATCCGTTCACTGCCATCAGGGATATCACCGGGCCCGGATGGGTTTACCAACCTTTACTATAAAAACTTCCAACAAATCTTAATCCCAGGATTAGAAAAGGTGTACAATCGCATTCTACAAACCGGCCTCATGCCACAAGAAATGATGATTGCGCACATAGCAACACTACCCAAATCTGTTAAGCTCCCCCCCACACACACAAGTGCCAAAACCTGCAACCAATATCCTTATTAAACACGGATATCAAACTCATAGCAAAAATTTATGCCACGAGACTAGGAACTATTATACCAACTCCTATAAACAAAGATCAGATGGGGTGTTAAAGGCCGCCAGGAGTCAGACGGTATGAGAAAACTGTTGAACCTTATGCACATGCTACAGAAAGCGGGAAGGCCCAGTGTACTGCTCTCTTTAGATGCCGAGAAAGCCTTTGACAGGCTACACTGGGGCTTCCTCGCGCCAGTTTTAAGGAAGTTTGAATTTCCAGAGAACATTTTTATCCTTAATCTTGGCATTGTATGCAGACCCAACAGCACGAGTGGTCAGTGGGGGATTTGCCGCACGCTCATTCTCAAATGCCACCAGACCGGGTTGTCCCCTGTCACCAATACTGTACATACTAACTCTAGAGCCTGTTACACAACTCATATGCACAACCAACACTATACAAGGAGTAGAAGTGGGGGACAGGGAATACAAGGTAATAATGGTCGCAGACGATGTGATGATATCACTAACTAGACCTGAAAACTCTCTACCGAATCCGCAACACGTCTTACAACAATACAGCCTATGCTCTTACTATAAACTAAATGTAAATAAAACACAGGCCATAGGCCTACATATACCGAGGCATACGCTTAAACAACTACAAGATACATACGCTTTCGACTGGAGGCAGGACCACCTCACCTTCTTAGGAATAGCCTTCACTGCATCTAGACAGAGCTTATACTCAGCCAATTACATAAAACTACTCAAATCTAGATAACCTCTTTAGCTTGGATACCCAAAAAGTTTAGACTATTATACAAGAATACATTCCACACAACAGAGATCACATTACAAGTGTGGGACAGCTACCAAAAAACACACCACCCAAAGGTCTATGTATCCTTAGCCATGGCATTGCAGGCGTTCGCGGCGTTTATACCAGGCTTCGACCACAGGGTATGGTACACACATCAAATCACATGCCTCTCACAGCTTATGCTAAACAGACATATATTGGATTTTTAACTCTCTTCAATCTTCTTATAATCTCCTTACCAGGACAATATTCTCATACATGCAGGTGAGGTCTTGGCTCAAAAAACATTATACCCAAACGCCATCGACTGTAAATGGACAACAGCTGATGGAGGTGGAAAAAATCTGAAGTGAACATCAGGACTAAAGAGAAAACCTAGCTTTGTGTTGGCTTGGGAGAGGGAACTTAAACATAATGTAGACAAGGCGGAGTGGCAGAAAATGTACTTAGCCCATAAACGGCTTACACTATGTACCTCACATATTGAATTAACTAGAAAAATCCTGTACCGATGGGGCATGATTCCAGTAAGGTTAAAACATGCGGACCCCATTAACTCAGGGAAATGTTGGCGATGTCAAAAGGATCAAGGCACCATGCTACACATACGGTGGTCGTGTCCAGTCCTTTCGGACTACTAGTAAAACATTTCTGATTTAATAAAGCACTTTTATGGTAAATAAAATCTGCTTTTGGACAAACCCACACTCGCTCATAAATATATACTGCAATATCCAGGTATAATGCAATATGAAGTGGTCCATGCTGTTGATGATGATTCCATCCCAGCATGATGTATTCAACCCTCATGTCTGGGTGTCAAAGATCTTTTTAAAGTTTTGCTTATTGGTCCTGAACCCCTGCAAATCTACACGTTTCACCAGTTTTGGGTTTCACACAATATTCATCTATAAATGTAGGAATGTAGAGATATTATTTTGCTTTGTCTGCATTTTTGTCCTCTTTGGTTAATGCTGCCTGATTAGTGGAAGGGCTGTGTACGTACACATCTAAGGACGGATGTATGGATGGGGGTGTGCCTTAAAAATAAGGTTTTTAGTTCAGAAAGCTGCAAAACATGTATTTTATTTTAACAAAAACTAGCCATATTTAAACACACAAAAATACAAAATATTTCCCCATCACTTTCTCTAGGAGATAACCAGGCAGTTATTTTGTTCAGGAGGTATATAATAAATGTAATGGTTTTTACAGAGGTTCTTTCATTTATTGGTTATAACACAAAATCCTTATCTTTAATGTTAATTTGTAGGTACCCATTTTAAAAGAGTAATCTCTGAAGATGGACCAGCCTCCCAGAATCCTGAAGGGGTAAAGCGTATTCTTTTTTGCACTGGGAAGATTTATTATGAGCTGACTAAAGAACGTAACAGCCGTGGATTGGATTCGGATGTAGCCATCACTCGTGTAGAGCAGGTGAGATGTAACATGCAGTTTGCTCGACTGCATTTAAACTACTTTCTTTGTTTGGGTTTATACCAGGATGATAATGTATTTGTGCCACTTGACAACTAGAATCTTTAATTTTGGCATTTATATATCACCAACATATTCTGCAGCGCTTTATATCTATAATATGGGGTTTTTATATATCACCAACATATTCTGCAGCACTTTGACATACAATATATTAACATATATGAGGTGAAGAAGGCCCTGCTCAAACTAGCTTATAGTTTATAAGTAAGAGTGAGTTTATAGCTTCAGTAATATTTGCAGTTAGTTGTGCTCTTGGTACCTATGCTAGGAGTGCCCCTATGTATGACTAATTTGTATTTCTGTCTGGCAAGCGTTTGATAGTTTGGGCTTACTTTAAATGTACACTCCAAATACCATACTGCACTATGGTTATGGTGCTTGGAGTGTTCTTCTAATAGTTGTAAGGAATAGCATGAGAATTGCTATGGAGAGCCCTGTATTGCATGGAACAAAGTGTAATAAAAGCCACATTCCTTCCTATTTTTTTTTATTTTTTTTTCTCCAGTTGTCTCCATTCCCATTTGACCTTATGGAACAGGAAGTGAATAAATACCCGAACGCAGAGCTGGTTTGGTGCCAGGAAGAACATAAGAATCAGGGCTATTATGACTATGTGAAACCTAGACTTCGCACCACCATACACCGTGCTAAGCCAGTCTGGTGAGTACCCGAGATTTACAGACTAATGCTCAGCCATGTGATTATCTAAAGCAGTCATTTAATTTCTTGCTCAGGAGAGCAGTGTATCTGTCCTAAGCCTTTTTTGTACTCTTATACTGTGTCTATATCTACTTTGAAACAATCGCTTGCATCTAGCATTCTATTAAAGGAACGCTCCAAGCACCATAACCACTACAGCTTGCACTGCTTAGGAGCCTGCAGCTCTCCAGAGTCAACAGTGGAGGTTGGGAATGGTACATAGTTAAACACACGTAAAAAGTAAATATGTTCAAAACATTTTTTTATTACTTGGGGAGCCAGGGCACGTCTGGCACCATAAACCACTACAGCAAGTTGTAGTGCTTTTTGTGCTTTAAACTTAACTTTAAACACAGTTGGCATTCATGTCACTCTAACTCAAAGTCCCATTGTTCTAGTTATCAAATAGTCACACAGGGCATGCACATTTTTGGCCAATTTTATGGGAGACACATACTTGATGCAGCCAATGAACAAAACAGCAGATTTTGTAGGTATATTTCTCGTAAACATTGGTGCAAAATATGTGGCTGGCTTACATACACACACTGCACCCCTCGCACATGCACTGCCTCCCGTACTCGCATACACCATGCATCCCTCACATACTCAGTGCCTCCTATATATATATATATATATATATATATATATATATATATATATATATATATATATATATATATATATATATATATATATATATATATACACATATATACACACACACACATTACTAGAGGCCCAATCCTGTACTGCAGCCCCTATCCTGGCAGACCCCAGGTAACTTGTCAAACTGTCAAACTGTCACAGCACTCCTGGCACCATAACCACTAAAGAGCGCTGTAGTTGTTATTGTGCCTGTATTGTTTCTTTAAATAATCTGAGTGCCCCTTCCGAGATAAGGCTCTGGCTTATTGATTCAATGCATTTCTATGAGCAGATTCTGATTGGCCAGCGCTGTTTGGTTTCTGCTGGCTCTGCCTCTGATCTGCCTGACAAGCTCAGCTAATCCAATGCTTTCCTATGCATGTATGTATTGTGATTGGCACAAAACACCACTTTTGATGATGCCAAGCAGGCAGACAAGGGGCAGAGTCAGCAGCAGCAGTCTGGGGTAAAAGTAAGAGGGGGGCCTTGGGAAATAGCTGGTGTTTTTAATAATATAGGGTAATGAATACATGTTTGTGTTCCTGACCCTATAGTGTTCCTTTAACCCCTTAAGGACACATGACATGTGTGACATGTCATGATTCTCTTTTATTCCAGATGTTTGGTCCTTAAGGGGGTTAAGCTTTTAACATACGGTCACCATTTTGATACCCTAAACCTAAGAGAAAAGCAGAAACATTCTAAAACTATACCACGTTGTGCACAGAGCACATTTATGCCGGAATAGGAAAGCCACTTCATGGTTAGGCTCTTGTTGATGCTATAATAGTTTATAGTTGACAGGGAAAATCTAGTAAGGCCAACATTTCACAAACTGACTTGTGGTGAAGGTGAGGGTCCTATGACAGCGCTTTGTTTAAAGTCACTGAGATTTTCAGTACGACCGATTGTACTTCCAGTGTTTTCTACTGTACTTCCAAAAGCTGGTTACAAAAGGAAGATTGTTTAGAAGATGGGGGCGGGTAGGGAGAACAGCACACACTGTTGCTTTCAAAAGGGTGTCTCCAGGCCTCTTATCACGTGCAATAACCAGCCAAAGATCCAAATAAAAATCTAATGGTATAACACTCTTCAGAATTTATAAACTCCCTTTAATGTGTACTCACATCAGCTGCTGTACTGAGGAGTGCAAGATCGTTTGGTTTTTTTATTGAGTAGAGGATTGTCTGGCACTCCATAAACTGAAAAATTAATCAGCTGCCACTGTTCATACAGTAAACATTCAGTTTAACACTATACTCCAGCAGCAGTTACATTGTTACATAGCTGAAAAGAGACTTGCATCCATCAAGTTCAGCCTTCCTTACAAATGTTTTTGCTGTTGATCCAAAAGAAGGCAGCCTTCCTTACATATGTTTTTGCTGTTGATCCAAAAACCTAGTCTGGAGTGCTTCCAATTTTGCAACAAACTAGGAAAAAATTCATTCTTGAGCCCAAAATGGCAGTCCGACAGGTCCTTAGATCAAGCTGATATCCCGGTATGTTATGTTTTTGCAAGTATTTATCCAATTGCAGTTTAAACGTCTGTAATGGACTCTGATAAAACCACCTCTTCAGGCAGAGAATTCCATATTCTTATTGCTTTTACTGTAAAAAAGCCTTTTCTTTGCCTTAGCAGTCACTGCATATATATTGCATAATTGCTGCTGTATTTTTACAGCAGAAATACATGTGTTCCACAATCTGTTGTTGGGGCACATTTAGTAAGTAAAATAATGCTTGCCTTTATAGGACAAGATTAGTAAAAGATTTGTGTCACATGCACTGGTTCTTTCCTTTTCTTCAGGTACGCTGGCCGTGATCCTGCAGCTGCCCCAGCCACCGGCAACAAGAAAAATCACACACTCGAGATGAAGCGTCTCCTGGATACTGCTTTCAACCTGGAGTCCTTCAAGGGCCTTTCTTAGGCTTCCATCTGCTTTTCTTAAAATCCCATCTGCACTCTCCAACTTTCCATCAATACACTCACTGGGGACTCTCCCCTCAACCTCTTTGTGTCTTTGCTTTACCTTGGCAGAGAAGGTGTTATAGCCAGGCTTAAGTGGGGATGGGTTTAATTAGTTGTTTTTATTTTGTTGTTTTTTTTTTTTTATGTTTTTTGCTGCTAGTAGTCTTGCCCCTTGAAATTTTAAATAAGGCCAAAATAAAATATTTGGGGGGGAGGGCGGAAGAAACTAAAATGAATATCAAAGTACAGGTAACTGTATATTACATATTTATAATATCTCTGAAACTCTGGCTTTATTATTTAAAAAGTGTAACCAATTGATGGCAGACATCTTTGCCTTTTATTAAGTGTCTGGACCTGCGGAAATCGCAGAAGCAGTCAGAAGCTGCACAGCTTTAAGCAGGCAAACAAGTTATGTACCCCTTTACGCAGCACTTTTACCAGCATACTAAAGGAAGATTGGACACCCACAGGTCATGGAGTACAGTATACAAGGATCAGTTCTGCCATGGCCAACACAGGTCTTAGAGTACCAGAGATATCTGTGGACTATATTTTCTAATGCATTGCATGGGAAATAGTGGTGCTTTCTAAATAGAGTAATTTCCCATGATGCTCAGCTAGCATAAAGGCTGGTTAATAATCATGGTAAGTGTAGGCTGCAAACAGCTGGGGTACAAAGAGTAATCATTGGTTACCTTGTGGCTAATGCATTTCTAAAAGAGATGATATTGGACAATTATTCAACCAGGATTGTTTTACAGAGCTTGCTCTCTGGTTTATGGAGGGGTGGAAAAACAGTGAAAGCATGAGCTTGTCAATCATAATCTGTGTGTCCCAAATCAAATTCATATATATAAAATGTTATTTTAAAATGTTATTTTCCTTTTCTAAAATAGCAGGTTTTGTTTTCGGGCCTGAATTTGGTAAATGATACCCTTTTAAAACACCTGTAAATTGTAAATACATATCAATAATATTACAAAAGATCATTTATTAATATCTTCCTGGCACATATTGTCAAATATATTTTTATTTTGAAACTCAAAGCCATCATTTTACCTCTTTTTAAAAGCAATTTATGCAAAAGACCAGAGTAGGAGAATTTTTAATATTATTTTTTTTATTTTTTTTTTGTTTTTTTACACCTAACAGTTGTAACTTTTTGTCTGCCAACCTCCTCCAGATTATAGATTGGTTATTTTGAGTGATGATAAAATAATTGGGGTACTCTGGCTCATCAAACTCTGTTTGTAACATAGGGAGAAATAATAGCATGCTATGAATAAACCACTGTTACCAATCTTTTTGTCCAATACAGTTCCTCTGTAATATATAAGCTTTTAAATCATTGCACAGGATTCTGGGTAATGCTCGTAAAGCTTGATAACTTTTAGCCTGTCTCCTTTCAATTACCCAGTTTCCATTGCTGCTTTAGGGTTAACCAATTCTCTGCCATCAAACCGCAGCGAAGATGTTTTGTTTATTATATATATATTTTATTTTTGTTTTCCTTAATGCTGAATTTCTCCTTTAAACAAAATATTTAACATATTCTAGTTGCATGTGCCAAATTCTGTACCCACAGACAGCAGGGAGAGGGTAGCAAAACATGGAAATAAATGGACAAATTGATTTGATGATTAGGCCACTGACACAAAAACAAACTTATTTATTTTGTTAAAATAAATAAAAATACATTTAAAAAAAAATTGTAATGAAACCTCTTTCCTCCGAGAATTTCTGCTGTTATAAACACTGTGCAAGATTATACAGTTAGAATACAGAACGTCCTCATTTGCAGTTTGTATACATTACAAGAACAAATATTTACCAGAAAGTAATTGTAAATGTGTGCATATATTAAGATTCATACATAGCTAGTATGTGTAATGATATTTTGAAAATCTATAGTTATTCTAATTAGAGTGACAAGCAAGATAACCACTACTGTGTGAGAAATTCACCCTGATAGTGTACAATGGTGTTAATTGTATTCCCCAAACATTACTACATGTACTGTTATTGCTTAAAGTGAAACAAACCTGAAGATGGCTCAATACAAGCACATGCTATTATCTGTATAATGGAGGAAAAATACAATGAGACACAATCCCTTAGAAGGGAAAAGCACTGGCTGGAGAGAGGGAGTAAGAGTAAAGGGCACTGTATTGCCACAGCACAAAGGCACCGTCTTATGAACAGCTTTGAATATAATCATCCCATGGAGTCCATACATTATGAAAAGTCTAGAATTTGATTTAAATGTGTCCATGGTCTCTTTACAAAACAATCCAGCCCAGAACATGTTTTAGATTTTAATGACTTGGAACAGCGCCACTATGATATATTTAAAAATCATAAACCTAAAGTACAAAATGTGAGTATTTAGACATAGTGTTTAGCACACTACTGATCAAAGTACCCAAAGTTATATTATGGTCCAAAACATCATTTTTAACGATTTCTGACAACACATCTGCTCCAAACTACTAGTACAATTTCTATGCATTTCAGGACACTTGTTCTGTAATTGCTCCCTACCACCCACATGCAAGCACTCCTTAAAACATAATTTCTCGGTGAGTACAATTGCCACATTTATGGAAGGAAGAAAACTACCTAATCATTGAACTGGTAATTGACATGGGCATTAGACCTTTTAAGTAAAAAAAGAAATTGCCACTACAGTAAAGTAGCAGTGTTAGACCATTTCTCCTTCAGTTATTTTTCAAGTTGACATTATGACAATTTTCAGTTTGGTGATCAAATGGTTCAGAAGTGTGGAAATCACATACCACATATTGGAAAACATTCAAAGAGACCAGGGTTGGCCTCCCAAATGTGTAGCTGGTATTTTTAATAAAGCCTGAGGTTGACAAAAGGAGGAGACTGTCATCAACATTTGTCCAATCCCTGCAGCTGTCACGTGGCATTCAGCCATCGATCTATGGATAGTCTTGCAGGATTCACGGTGGACCTTAGTTTTGTACTCTTACGCGTGCGTGAGAGTAAAGCACTGATGTGGTCACTGCCTGGAAAGACCTGCAGCATGAACATAGTAGAACAACGAAAGAGTATGGCGTGTACTTCGCCCAAAATTATACGTACATAGGACATCAGGAGATATTGTATAAAACCTCAAGATAATACAAAAATGGTACAGTACAGTTTGATAAAGTGCAAAATAGTAGGTTGGTGAAACGCGTCAAGTGGGACTTACCCTTGGATATTTTAATTGTACCTGTGTTTTTATACACTTTTATATGTTTTTTTTTTTTTCAATAAATAGTCATTTTTGATACATCACCATTTTGTATCCTGCTTTGTCCGAAACCAACATATCCTTAGGTGGGGATAATACCACCCATGCTGTGATAACCAGAGCAGGTCTTGCTCTAAAAATTGTAAGTACATTACTTTTTCCTTATTTCAGTTTACAGTACTTACTACACTATAAGTTTTTTTTTTTTTTTGTTCTGTTCCTCTACTTTTATATATACCATTAATACCTGCATCCGCTTCTGGAGAACCAGCACCACCTATACCACCCTATATCCTTAAACGGGGATAATACCGTCCACGTGCAATACAGCAGAGCTCTAATATAGCTCTAGCAAATGTGAGTGGTTCTACTGCAGTCAACAACCTACTATTTTGCACTTTATCAAACTGTACTGTACCAGTTTTGTTTTTTCTTTTTTGTATTTTCTTGAGGTTTTATACAATATCTCCTGAAGTCCTATGTACGTATAATTTTGGGCGCAGTATACGCCAAACACTTTCTTTGTTCTATTATCACACGAGGTCCTGGGAATCCTTGTACTGTATACAGCAGCCCTTGTTTACTTGTTGCACTATAGTGAGCGCCTATAACTCGTTTTTATTAGTATTAACATGGTGTTAGCTGCGTGGGACAGACAGAGGTTAATAAATCTCCCCGCAGCCACCAGAAATATGCAAAAACGCCCAAAATTTACAGATCAACTCTAATAGAAAGTTGGCCTTTTCTTTTAAGATGACAATATCTGAAGAAAAATGTCAGCTTGGTTGAAATCAAGTATCAGAGAGATACTCCATTAAAGGACCACTATAGTGCCAGGAAAACATACTCGTTTTCCTGGCACTATAGTGCCCTGAGGGTGCCCCCACCCTCAGGGTCCCCCTCCCGCCCGGCTCTGGAAGGGGGAAAGGGTTAAAAACTTACCTTTTTCCAGCGCTGGGCGGAGAGCTCTCCTCCTCCGATCCTCCTCTTCTCCTCCTCCTGGGCTGAATGCGCACGCGCAGCAAGAGCTGCGCGCGCATTCAGCCCGTCGCATAGGAAAGCATTTACAATGCTTTCCTATGGACGCTTTCGTGCTCTCACTGTGAAAATCACAGTGAGAAGCACGCAAGCGCCTCTAGTGGCTGTCAATGAGACAGCCACTAGAGGATTAGGGGGAAGGCTTAACCCATTCATAAACATAGCAGTTTCTCTGAAACTACTATGTTTATAAAAAAATGGGTTAACCCTAGAAGGACCTGGCACCCAGACCACTTCATTAAGCTGAAGTGGTCTGGGTGCCTAGAGTGGTCCTTTAAGTAGTTGCCATAAATAGGGAAAATAAGTCAGAACTTTGCACCATAGATTAAAAAAAAAAAAGAAATAACATATTTAGGATTTTAATTTGATATTATCTACATACAAACACACTCAAGATAAGATTATTTAAGGGGGGAATATAGAAAAGAGAGAAAACAATCAAAATGAATTTTGCTCCTGAGTGTTGAAATGCCTTGTACAGGTGATACTCGAAAAATTAGAATATCGTGCAAAAGTTAATTTATTTCAGTAATGCAACGTAAAAGAGGAAACCAATATATGAGACGCATTACATGCAAAGCAAGATAGTTCAAGCCGTGATTTGTCACAAGTGCGATGATTATGTCCTACAGCTCATGAAAACCCCAAATCCACAATCTCAGTAAATTAGAATATTACATGCAATCAATAAAACAAGGAGTGTACATAGAACAATATCGGACCTCTGAAAAGTATAAGCATGCATTTGGACTCAGTACTTGGTTTGGGCCCCTTTTTGCAGCAATTACTACCTCAATGCGGCATTGCATGGAAGCTATCAGCCTGTGGCACTGCTGTTATGGAAGACTAGGATGCTTCAATAGCGGCCTTCAGCTCTTCTGCATTGTTCGATCTCATGTCTCTCATCTTCACTTGGAAATGCCCCATAGATTCTCTGAGGTTCAGGTCAGGCGAGTTTGCTGACCAATCAAGCACAGTAATCCCACGGTCATTGAACCAGGCTTTGGTGCTTTTGGCAGTGTGGGCAGGTGCTAAGTTCTGCTGGAAAATTAAGTCAGCATCCCCATAAAGCTCGTCTGTGGAAGGAAGCATGAAGTGCTCCAAAATCTTCTGGTAGACGGCTGCATTTACCCTGGACTTGATGAAGCACAGTGGACCAACACCAGCAGATGACATGGCTCCCCAAATCAACACAGACTGTGGAAGCTTCACAATGGACTTCTTGCAATGTGTACCTCTCCATTCTTCCTCTAGACTCGGGTCCTTGGTTTCCAAATGAGATGCAAAAATTGCTCTCATCAGAAAAGAGGACTTTGGACCACTGAGCAACAGACCAGGTCTGTTTTTCTTTAGCCCAGGTAAGACGTTTCTGACGTTGTTTGTTCAGGAGTGGCTTGACAAGAGGAATACGACATCTGAAGCCCATGTCCAGGATCCATCTGTTAGTGGTGGCTATTGATGCACTGACTCCAGCCTCAATCCACTCCTTGTGAAAGTCCCCAACACTTTCGAATGGCCTTTTCTTGACAATCCTCTCCAGGCTGCAGTCATCCCTGCTGCTTGTGCACCTTTTTCTATCACACTTTTCCCTTTCACGTAACTTTCTATTAATGTGCTTTGATACAGCACTTTGAGAACATCCAACTTCTTTCGCAATAACCTTTTGAGGCTTTTCCTCCTTATGGACGGTGTCTATGATGGTTTTCTGCACAACTGTCAGGTCAGCAGTCTTCCCCATGATTGTGATTCCTACTGAACCAGACCATTTAAAGGCTTAGAAACCCTTTGCAGGTGTTATGGCTTACTTAGCTTATTAGAGTGGGACACTGTGAGCCTAGAATATTGCACCTTTTCACAATATTCTAATTTATTGAGATTGTGGATTTGGGGTTTTCATGAGCTGTAAGCCATAATCATCGCACTTATGACAAATCACGGCTTGAACTATCTTGCTTTGCATATAATGCGTCTATCTCATATATTAGTTTCCCCTTTTACAATGCACTACTGAAATAAATGAACTTTTGCACGATATTCTAATTTTTCGAGTATCACCTGTATGTCTAGGATTTCAGTTGCTCTTTGGAAGTTATTAAACAACTATTGCAAGTAGTGAATTGAAGTTGTAAAACTAAACCTTGGCGCAACTAGGAATGCTGAAACTAACTTTAATATCAAAATAAGACACAGATATTTGTCATTTTGGAATATATTGAGGGATTTGTAGTTTTCCTTATCTGAGTGTTTATTCATTTTCCTGATTGGTGAGTGCCGTTCCTACTATGGATTACTTTAATTAAATTTAATAGCAGGGGGGGCATGGCTTGCCGGCTAATGGAGTAGGTCACATACCACAGAGGCTTCGCGACTTCAGCTCACATAGCCCCATATAATTGCCCACCTACTGCACTCCATGGGGTAACCTAGACACCTGGGCACCCCGGGACCCTCAGCCCTAGCC